GATGCTCTCTGCATCTTTTAAGGACCATCACACTGCCTGTGTCTTTAAGTAATGGCCCAGTGCTCTGGAACATATTAATGAAACCCTGAAATCGCTCTATATCCTTATATAAGAACTTCATGTGCACTGAGCTTTACTCAATGTGGCCAAAGTAAGAGTCATTGATCATACTGTGCAGATTCTGAAATACATGGTGTCGAATCACCATAGCAAAACATAACCACTCCTCTTCTTACATTTGAAAGGAAGAGGAAGGGTTTGAAAGGAATTGGTCAAATGTTAAATGTTTCAAGTGCTCCAGGTTTGATGTTATTAAACCTGTAAATTTGATAAAAAAATAAAGACAAATCATGTCGCTAGGTGCCTACAAGTTAGAATTATTGCATGACATGTAATTTGTTCTAATCACACCATATGATAACTGAGTATTTGTGAAGTAATCCAGGATCTCTGATATTTAAGCAATAGATTTGTTGCCTAAAGTGAGGGCACCCTGACCTTTTGGAATCAGAACGTCCTGGTTTCCGAACAACGTGACATTGAATCTGTCTGAACATATTGAGGGATCGCAGGGTGCAGCTCGCAAAACGAGTATTTGTCTGAGTAAGATCCTTGTCTCCAGCGCTACATGTCAAAGTTGCAACTACTCTTTTGTGTCTCATCTTCGCCCATCCAGCAAACTATGCATTTGGAATAAGTTTGATGTGGAATTCTGTCCCTCCTGGGATGGAGGATAGTTCATTTGCGACTCACTCTGAGATCTTAGCATTTTTTCATGTCATAGTATTTCCTCTTTTTAAGCCCTATGAGATAAATTTGATTTGTAAAAATAAATTTGATAGATTTTTTTGACTGATCGATTGAAGTTTCAGTGCAGTGACTCAGCTACTATTGAAAGTTGTAACAAGAAAAACAGAATACACGCAGAATACACATCCATGTACATGGGTGTTAATTGTGCATTCAGCATTTTTCTCTTGTTTTGCATTTGAGCAGCGTAATTATTAACAAAATGTTGAGGGTAAAAAATTTCCCCCCCACACAACTTGATTGTGTATTGTTTTTTTCCCCCCACAGATTATACTTCATTTAAGGAAATGTTCATGTGATATATGAAATTTGAAACCTGTGAGGACAAATTAAAAGTTCATTATCACCCAGTTCCCCCTCAGATCATTTTAGCGTCCTTTTGCTCATCATTATGATTTTACAGCACAAAACGCTCACTGCTCTCCTCAGCCTTGATTCCAGCAGTAACAGGCAGTTTCTGCACGGCAACACATGGCAGACCAATAAAAGCAGTAACAAGCTGGTGAACAGAGTGGCACAGTTAGAGCAGCTAAAGAGATATTTCCAGCAGGAGTCGGTGGGGACCAGTTATTTGCGAACACATTCACAGGATCAAGTTCACTAGGTGCTACTGCACTGCCTTCAACTGTAAGATCAAATCTTTTAGTCCCTGTGGTTCGGCACACTGGTTGAAGTAGCTGATGTGTTTTAATGACAGCCAATCAGCTGCCACCACTGCATCACTGCTTTAACAATGTAAAAATCAGAAAAATATTTTTAGGATCTTTCTTTTTATTAATTATTTGTAATCTTATTATTTTGCTTTCAACATTTTAAGAGTGTATTATTTGAACATTCTCTATAGTCTTAGTGTTTCTCTAACGCTAGAATATTTTGAAAATGTATGTTTTATGTTGTCTGACACTGGCTGTTGCCTCCCTCACAGGGTCAGGGGTCTATTTTAATAAACTAGACACTTTATAACAACAGTAACAATAAAATTGGCAATTGTAAAGATTTTTAATTTACTTTACACAATGTGCTTTAAAAGGGACCAACTTTCAAAATAAAATTCAATGATGTGTGGCTTTGCTCAAAGCTATAGAACAGACAGGAATGAATTAAATGTGCACCTTACTGAATCAGGAACTGTGCTTGAATGTTGGATATATAATTGGGCCCTCTGTGTAAATTGTGGCTCCTTAGGGGCCTAAATCTGGATCCGCCAGTGCTCCCACATATTTCTAAAATGTCCATAATTTCCTGTAAATCTCTTGTGTGTTGGCAGCAACCCAACAGCAACAAACCTTATCAGTAACAATGAAACTATGAAACAGAAGCAATTACAGTGCACATAATGACTTCCCCCCACCCAAAAAAGCAAAAGACAAATATGATATCAAAATTGGGATTTGCTTGGGTGAAAAAAAAAATCTTCACACGATGTTGTTGCATGTCGTGCAATAAACCAAAACCGACCTTGAAAAGTCTTCTGATGTGCCAAACAGAATTTACATGATGATGAGGTATTAGAATGGACCGACCTCCCTGCAAACCCCAGAGTGGAGCTGCTGCACGCACACACATACACACACACACACACACACACACACACACACACACACACACACACATACACATCAATCCTGCTTTGAGCTGTAACGATCTGTGTGACCGCATGACAACTTCAGAGGGACAGCTACGCGGTTATGCAACACAATGCTGCTTGCACAAGTGTCATCTTGAACTTCTCACACATAAAATGAGAAGGGGGGGGCACATAATGTTAATTAGCTCGAAAACACATTACAGTATCTTCATTATTTAAAAGCTAAGAATAGTCTCTGCAGTATGATTGAGAGGGCTTATAATTACAACACCACAAGCTTTAATTAATGGAATTTATCTGTATTGTAAATGTTTATTTCTGTTTCCCATTTGAACTAATTGACCAGCCTGCGTATTTATCATTATTACTGTTCCATGTGTGTAGACCCATCTCTTTATTGTGCCTTCTGCTCATGATGGATCTGTTCATGGTCCGGTTACTAATGTTCCTATAGATAATATGAATTACCTTCATCCATCCTTAACCTTTAGCATCCTGCTGCTATGTCATGTCAAATGCTGTAATAGAATATCAGTGTCACGCGTGGATGGTATTAACAGTGTATGACATTTTTCCAAAACATTCTTCTTTTTTATAGGAACAAAAGGAAAAGCAACTGCAACAATCACGATCCAGCCAAATCCACTACGTCCTTGAGGTGAGAAGGTTTATCCTCTGATGAAGGAGAAACCAAGCTACAAATCTTGATCTGAGTTAAGTTAATAAAGGTCTATCAATAGCAGCGAGGACGAGCTCTGAATGCAGACGTTCCCTTTCAGTCTGGTCCCTGCTGCACTTGGGGGTTTAGCAGAGCGTGCGTGTGTTTGGAATCTTAAAGGCAGGAATCCAGGCACATTATTGAATGCCGCTGAAGGGGTCAAAAAGGAAGTGGCAGTGAAAGGGAGTGATACAGACACCTTCAGCACACTGGCAGCGTAGTAAGTGCCATCTTGCTGCAGAAAAATGTGATGTGTCTCTGCAGGGAAAATCATTTGCATGCATCTGCAGGTACAGATTAACCTGTTTCCCTCACTTGGGAGGCTGCAGAGGTCTGAAGTTGTCTGTAACAAGTAATAGCAGGGCTGTTGCATAAACGCTTAAATATGTGACATAAGGACTTGTCTGTTTATGGAGAGAGAAAAAACGCTAAGTGAAGGAATTATGGCAGACAGACAGCGGTATCTCTGCATTGAGATCATTTAAGAAATGTCGGTGCATTAATCTTATAGGGCCACATTCAGACTGCGTTGGATTAGCCTGCAGGTTTTAGAAAAAAAAGCATAAAGAATTGAAATGCAAATAGGACAGGGATTACTGAGAGAGCATTCACTCTGGCAGAGCCTCTTCCATTAACTGCAGAAAAGAGGGGTCACGCTTAAAGAAAAAAAAGGATCTAAGCCTAATGATTATTCTCTCTGCACTCACTGTTGTTTAGAGCGAGTTAATAACTCAATACATGTCTCGTCATCAGCAAGATATGAACAAATGAGAGGAGCGTTTTGCACCTGCTTGCTGGAAAACAATATAACCACAGCATAATGATCCAATCTAAGCCGATAATCGCTCCCATTTCTCCAAACACTCTAATAAACTGTTGTGCTGTGGCAGGCAGTCCCAATTCCCTAAACATGTTTGCCCTTGTTAGCATCACCCTGAAAACATAATGCAGCTGACACCACCTCAGTGAGAGAAGGAAACATTTTCTACCTATATATGACAGGATAAGGGAATTATTTGGCCATGCACTGAGTTGCATTTGAATCCAAAGAAAATGGTGCTAAATGAGAAAGTGAATCATCTGCACTTCAAAAGCCTGCTCCCTGCACACTCTGAGGTGTGAAATTTGTAGCTGCAGGGACGGCACCAACTTGAAAGAGCGCAAATATGATTTTTAACAGTTTTCTTTCTGATCTGTGAAGAAGAGAAGAGGTGTTTATTGACACTTCTCTGCTTCATTAATATGAACTTACTGTCCCCAAATGTGTCTGTGTCCCCTTTGTTGCAAATTAATTGTGTTTATTAAGTGTTGCTGACGTGCAGAATGAATTTTCCTTTAATTAATATGATATTCTAAGATTGTTGGAACTTTTTTTCATGGGTTGCAATAAAAAGATGCATACTATGCATTTTTATCAATGTGAGTCACATGAAAATATTCTACATTCAAATGAAGAAGTCATGTTGGGACTATTTCATCAATGTCAGTCAGACCTGATGTGTAGTTTCCTTGGTGGAGACTGCCCCCTGCTGGTCAAACAGCACAGCCCCCCCCCCCCCCCCATTTATTCCTCTGTATTCATGCTGTTTAGGGAGCAACCCAGCAGCCTTAACTACCCTTTTTTTCCAGCAGCTTCCTCCATCTCTTCCTGAGGGATCATTGAGAGCTTCCACACATGCTAACAGATGCAGAGTTGACTGAATATGTCTTTGCCTCTAATCCTTTCCTCTCCATCCCTTTAAGCTGCCGCCAGGAAGCGAGGGAAGAAAAGTAAATACAGGAGGGAGACAGAGGTGAAGAGAAGTTTTCTGGTCTCATTAAAAAGTCTGTGTCCTTGTAGGACAGAAAAAGTAATGGTCCTTAAACTCAAGCACAACAGCTAGATTGTTAACGATCAGTTTATTAAGTTTTCCTAAATGATTGACAGGAAATCATTCGGAAGCAGTTTGGGTTCCATCTGGTCACCTGTGAATTTTTCTTTTGTTTGGAATGAAAATGAATTATCATTATTACTTGCAGCTTTACCGATAACAGATATTGAAGTTTTTCATATTCTGTTACTGTATAGCTATCAAAGAAATACAGTGAATATCATTGCATTATTGTTTTAACTATCATATCTGTATTACTCTGTTGTTATGATACTATTGTCACATCATATATTATTATTATAAAATGATCACTGTCTTTTTTCTTCACTCCTCCAAACAAACTAGACGAGTTTGTGCTTCACTTGAAATGAAAAATGGACACTACATTAAAGTGCCACATCTGTTTCAATTTGAGTAGGTTTACATCATTAAGAAAGAAATGTGTGGGAGATATAGCTCTTAATATTGTAAATATAGCCTGAGTGGCCAAGTCTTACAACATCAGTTCATCACCAGTGTGAAAGGATTCACTTTTCACAGTAAGTGGGGTCTTGACTTCGTCAGCCACTTAGTATACTCAAACTTTCAAAAGCAGTATTTACAGAGTTGCATCACATGGCATATGAATCACACTCTGCATTAACAAAACATGATATAGTAGCATGAATGCTAGATTATGTTCTTTATTGTTGTTTAGCTACTATTACTGCCACTGACAAAGCTCCAGATCTCCAGTTTATTTGTTTCAGCATATCCAGACACTTCAAATTATTTCTTCTTGTTTAATATTTTCAGTCCATCTTAATTTAAAGATGATGTGTTTGTCCACTGCTAAGAAGTGAATTGTTCGAATTAAATATTAAAAGATTATTTACAGGATCTGTAGCCTGCAACAACAGCCTGTCTTTATAAAATACACATAGTTGTTCTATTTAAACACTTGAAACTGACAAATCAAATTATGCAACATATTTTAGGTTCAGGAGCAGCAGCAATACCAGCAAACTGTTTCATTCAGTTGAAAACATTGTCAACGATTTTGATGCACAAAGCGGGGCAGAAAACTCATGACACTTGAAAGAGAAACACTGACCTCTAAGAGAACCACCACGCTTGAGTAAAATCTGTCAAATATCATACAAAACACTGTTTCTATTTAATTTTCTCCTGCAGATCCGGAAAGATTAAAGCAAATATGTTGTTAAAATGTCTAGTGCCAACCTACATTACCATGACCAGGATAGTGTTCTGCAAAATATTTTTAATTTGCATTCTTCTTACAAAAATATCTTGAAATGTCACATTTTTACACCACCATGTACATGATTGTACAAAAAATCTGTGGTAGGTGGAGACAAAAGCATATTCGCTTATGCCCTTATCAGATATTTTTGAGCTTTGTACATGATCAAAACAGAATAAATAATACCCAGGATCCATGTTGCCTACATCATCTCTGTGTTTTTGTTTGGTTCTTGCAGGTCACAGTGATTACAGACTGTCATAGACTTTGCAGTGCAGGTATGCCAGCTTCTCTGCCCTGCTTTTCCTCAGCAAGGGAAACCACTCATAATGGCTAAGCTCTACAACCTTGTAGCCTGCCAACCCCAAATGTCGTCTCTTCATGGCATGAAGACCCAACAGCTGCTGTGAATGGCAACAGTAATGATTCCTGCTGGAAACCTGGATTGCAAGTTTGACTGTGGCTTTGGCATCCTGTGGGTCTGAGCCTGCAGGCCTACTGTGTTCAGTAAGAGTTTCTATCAGGTCAGTAGTCAGGTCAATTCCTGTGACAAAAAGTCTCCCATCATCAGGTCTTTCTCTGTGAAGAGAAGCAGTCTTAGGAGATGGAGTTAAAGGTTCTGTTGTGTTTTTCACGTTTATTAGCTGTGCTAAAAGGTCCTCAGTTATAGTTACCCCTCTGTTCATTTTCCGCCACCCTTGGTTTAAAGTTACTTCGGATGAATTGTTCTCAGGACATAATGTGGTTGAGTGGGATGTTGGGTTAACAGGTATCGGCTTTCCCGTGGAGTCAAAATGTACTTCCAGGTCAATGGTGCGAGTGTGAGGCAGAATCATTCTCTTACACACAAATTCCTCTCCTCCAAGCAGATCTTGGAGAATGGATTCTGCCTCCAGAACCTCAGGTTTGAGGCACACATCTGACTGAGCAAACGTCCACAGCAGCTCAGCTATCTCCTCCCTCAGTTCATGGCTTAACCGCGGCCCAGTCCACCGAGGCAACTCCAGAGCCACAGCTCCATCTAAAGTGAGCAAGTCTTTTTTCAGCTCCAGCTGTGTTGCTTTCAGCGCTTGCTTGACAAAGTCAGGGCTCAGAGCTAATGCAATCAAGTCCTCTGGGAACTGAGAGACAAAGGCCAGGCCTAGCAGGCCAGTGAGCAGATGCTCTGGGTACTGTTGGAATTCTGCCTTCCTCTGTCTCAGGGCTTCTGTCAGGCTTGGATAGAAGCTCGGACTCTGAGCTGGAAGAAACCTTAATGTGCCGAGGGCCCAGAGCAGTTTGCCCGAGTCCTTACTCCTGCAGTGTGGCACGAGCGAGGGCACTCTCTCAGCCACAGCAACAAGGATGTTATCATTACGATAATGCAGTGCTGAGCAGGTCAACACCACATGCATCAGCCCCTGAACAACCATCCTGGGGGCCCGTCGAGGTACTTCCTGTGTCATGGCCTCCATCCACGCTCTGTGGTACAAAAAACTGAAACGCAAGAATTTCAGCACATTCACCATCGCAAAGTCACTCATGTCTCTCACAGAAGAGTGTGCCTTATCAACAATAGCAGTCGCTGCACTCTGAGATATTGAAGTTTGGGATTTGAAAAGTCCCAAGCACACGACACCAACCTCCTCAGGGTATAACTGTTGTAAATGGTGCAGAAGACGCTGTTGAACAGGATGGATTAAGCCTTTTGGGCACTGCCTACCTTCTCCCATTATATACAACAGCTGGACTAGTTCAGGAGCCCCCATCTGTCTCACATACAGATGGATTGAGTCATAGAGGTGCTGTAAGAACTGGGGGGCCTGTCTCCTGAAACAGCGCCACAAATCAGCAGCTAACAGCAACTGGTGTAAAGTCATCTGGTTGGCCCGGCGGCTCACCTCTGTCTCGTACAGCCCGAGCAAAGTGTGGCCAGAGGGTATATCCAGCCACACAAACGACTGCAGCACTTCCAGCAGCTGCAGGTCAGTGAAGAGGCGTAGGTTTACCACAGAGTATCGGAGGAGCATGACAAAGCGCTGGTCAGTCTTTATCAATGGCGTCTTCTTTGGGGCCACGCGGCTGAGCTCCACGAGAGACTTAGACACATCAGATGGCTTCATGCTGCCTTTTAAAACAGCCACATTTTGGAGCACCTGGGAGACATCTTCCCATTTTACTGGGTGAGGCCGCTGTGTGAGGTCAAGGGTCATGGAGGTATACTCAGGCCGGCATTTGTGGAACACACGTGTATCAAGTTTAACGACTGGAGGTATGGTTTCTCCTTGGTACGGTGACTCTGATGATGGCCTCTCGGCTTCAGAGCTTTTGTTGAAAGCTAAGTTGAGAAGCGTGTTTTTGGTGCTGGATAGATGCCTCGAGGAACTGATACTGTAGCGATTGCTCTGTTGCCAGAAGGAAGGTGTGAGAGCGGAGAGACACCTTTCGTCCTCGTCATTATCTGTCCATCTCTGGGAGGCTGCAGCTTTTCCCTCAGAGCGATGATATGAAGATGGGTTGTAATACAGCCTGTAACCTCCATGGAGAAATGCCCCTTTCTTCCAATTCTGCTCATCTGCCTCATCCTCTGTTTTGCCATTGAGGTGTTGAGCCTGGGTAAAATTCTTTCTCAAGCCTCGGAGGCAGTGCAGCCTGGGCACACGTTGACAAAGCACACAGGCAGCCATCAATATGCAACACTGAAACAAGAAAACGTATATGTTAAGTCAACCCAACATGTGAAAGAATTATTGCAAATAATACACAAGAGGTTTATTGTCAAAAAATAGGGTGGTGTTTTCTTTCCAGACTACTTTCACTTTAAATTCCTTCAGGGATGTCAGGGATGAAATAATGGTGCTTGTAGTTTATGGTGAATGGAGGACAAAGAAATGTTGGGACCCAGCATAGACTGTATAAGATGAATGACATGACTGCTGGGACATGGACCCAAACTAAAAAAGTAAGAGGCCAACTGCATTACCCCAGTGTGTGGATTAATGAAGTTTTATCTATATCTTATCTTAAGTGATGATTTCTCACTAAAACTATGAAATGTTTTATTCTTGCAATACAAACCATGGACAAAGGAAACCCAATAACATTTCTACTTAGATTTCTTACTATGAACAACACTATGTAATACCTGAAACTCACAAACCCAGTCGTTTGAGTTAAAGCATTCATACATAATAGGTGTGTTAATACAGAGTAATAGATGAACTGAATGATGACACAGAGCTAAGCTAACCTGGTGTCTTTTTGCCTCCTCAGTCCAAACCATGGTTATAGATTATTCCTGCTAAAACAAACCCCTCTCTGTAGTTAATACATTTGCTGTTCTGTCACTTCCTGGGCTGAAGTCTGGTCATTCAACTTCACATGTTCTGTCTGAAATTGTTTCTCTGCACGAAAGCAACAGAATACACTTCCTCCAAACCGAACTAACCTATGTGGGTATGATCACGATTATAATACAACGTTCATCTCACCTTTAACACTCGTGCATGGCTCAGACCATGATGCAGCAGGAACATGTAGATTTAACCTCATGTGGCTGAGAGGAAGAAACGGACATCACACCGGAAAATCCGTGAGTCGACCTTCAAAACAAAAGAAGCCAGATATTGTTTGCTCGGTGCTGGAACCATAGATGCAGCACAATCAAGCTAACACATCGTGTTGTGTTTAGAGTCATTTTTATTGTATATCTGACTGTGAAGAGACGGCATTTTCCTCTAGCATTAGTTGTTGCAAAGTGTCGTGTCGGACTTTGCCGTATTTTATTGTGGCAGGCTAATGTAGTTTCCGTGGAGAGCCGCCATGACTGAACAGACTGTGACCTACGGCGGCTGGGAGGGGTCAAACATCCGGGGGGGGGGGGAAGAAAAGAAGAGAAGAAAAAAGAATAGAAAAGGAGAGAAAAGAAAAGAAAAGAAGTGAAGACAAAGGAAAAGAAGAGAAGAGAAAAAAGCGAACAGAAGAGAAAGGAAAACTAAACAAAAGATAATTTGTATCCTATAATCTATGCAAAACAAATATTTGATAAGATATTACTCAACACAATCTGATGTTTTACATAATTCAAACTTTAATTATTATTATCTATTTTTTTCTTAGCAAAAAAATCTGTACCTGAAAAATATATTTGATATTTAAAAATATAAATGTTTTGATAACTAAACAGAACATTTATTATTGATAAAGCAAAGATTTTAGATTTTAGAGAATTTATTCCACTACTTCTTTACAAAGCTGAGTTATTACTGATATAAAGGTTGATTTTGCTTAAAGGCATCATAAACATTTAAGTCACCAACTGTGAATTATAACCTTTAACTGCATCAAATGGGACACATTAAGCAGAACAGAGCCTGCACAACAATATTTGCAGTAAAAAGGCAAACATTTTATAACAACAAGATGTGATTTTGAAGCCATGGAGGGAGCAAATTACTCAGTCAAATGATTTATAAAGAATCTAAAAATTATTTATGCTGAATATATATCAGGATCTATGGTTCAGGTCGTTTTAGTTTTGTTTTTATTATTGAACATAGCACATATCAATGTTAATGGTTTTTACAGCTGACCAGAAAAGGCTTAGACTGTTTACTGCATATTCAACTACAACATATTAAAAGTAACTACACTCTTTTCCATCAAAAACGTTATCCTGCTTTATTTTGTGTGTGTGGTGTTAACTGTTTTCAACAGAACTTAAAAACAACAGAAGGCTTATAACACTATATTTTTATTTGTTTTCTTAATTTGTTTTTCGTATGAATCAGAAGTAGAAAGGTTACACGTCAAGAGTGGTTTAGTTTCTAATTTTTATTTTTTTATTTTTTGTGTCAGAGGAATTTACTCTTTAAATTTGAGCTTTTATTTTGAAACATAGGGATGGGAAAATAAGTCTTATTCAAATGTAAACATTTTTAAACGTCACATACTTCATGTCTCTTCACTTTTTAGAACCATATTTTTTAGAGTAAACTAATTTATTTAAAATATGCAAACTCAAAAGTATGTATCCAACTTTATTTTTGCTTCCAGTGGACCAATGGATGATCTGTGGCCGTTTGTTTAATTAAGACGTCTTTAATTTCTTTGTATAAATTCCACATTATTTATTTTTATTACATTTCTCAACTGATCCATTTTAAGTTCTGTGCTTAAAGATTGATTAAATTGCAGCAGTTCTTAACACTGTGAGAATAAGGAGTGTTTTCAGATTGTTTCCATTGTGTGACTTCACACATGACTGAATCCAGAGGTGAAAGGTGAACTAGACTAACCAATGGTCATAAGACAATTCCCTGCTTATTCTACTCTAAAGGAAAACCCTTAATGTTCTTTCAATGAGAGGAGTATGAGGGCTACAAATACTTCTATTTTATTAAAGTATTTGTTTACTTCTGTACTCTTTCCCAACATCTAGATGTTGACTGATAGTAAGTTGTATGCTGCACACTTAATTCTTTTATTTATTTTACTAAGATCTGTATTGTTTCCATCAAAAAATAAATGTGCAGCCTTGAGTTGTAGGG